TATCACCCGGGCAGTGGTAGCCATGGGAAGCTGTTTCGCCCTTATTGGCGCTCATCAGCATGGCATAGCTATCGGGTCTATAAACCGTCTCAACCAGTCCGGGCCGTAACCATTTCTGGATATCGGTTTTGTGCCCTGTGATTGTTTAAGGCCAAAACAAAAACAAAATAAACTTGGCCAAGAGATACTACAAATAGGTAAAAGTTGAACAATTTCTTTGATGACAGCCATTTGCGGTAATCGATCGAAACAAAATTCAGTAATAAACACTGCAAGGGAAGACAGCATAGAAATAATTCATTTATTTGCAGCATACAAGTCTTGACATTCCCGCACTCTGAAGAAGTGAAGTGGATTTATCCCAGTACAAACTCATCTTTTCATCATCATTTCGTCATCATCATCATCATCATCATCATCAACATAGATTTTTCTAGTTCCCTTTTGTCTTGTCATTCTGCGCATTGGAATTTCACGCCTTTTTCTTGTTTACAGGAAAGAAAGACTTGACGACTGAAAAACAGAAGAAAAGCCAGGTTTTCAAGAGATTCAAACGAGCTGAGACTGTTCAAAGTGAGTCGGTTATTTATTTATTTATTTATTTTACTTTATTTTGTCTTGTTAACTTCCCGATTATCGAAGGAGTCCAGCATATGGAGTTTTCCTTGTTAGGTTTGTATGCTATCCTATAAGCCTACGCCAGAGATAAAGTAGTAGCTAGCTAGTGCATAGATACAGCTTACAAATTATGAAAGGAAATAAATAACAAAACACCACTGTGTATTTTTTTTTCTTTTTTCTTTCTCTTTCTCTTTCATTTTCTTTTCTTCCTTTTTCATAATAGGGACACTTTATGGAGACACTTTAAAAAAAAGGTCTATTATAGCCTCGTTTCTTTCTTTATGTAACTAAAATGCGCTTTTATTTTGTTGTCTTATTTTATCTACCGTACCGTAAGTGACCTAATAAACGCCCGGGACGTCTATTCAATTTTAGGGTTGCAAGCCGGGGCGTTTAATTGATATGAATCGTTTAAAGAGAGAAGCGTTTATCCTCATAATTGTAACATCTATTAGTAATGACAATAGGACTGAGTGTCAATAACAAAATGCAAGAATCTTAGTCTTGAAATATTTATTAATGTGAGAGAAAGATTCCAAAGCAAAAACATGATCGGTTGTAACTTTGGATGAAATCATCGGAAAGTTGAAGCCCGAACGCATGATAAACTTTCCAAAAAGAAAAAATAAATAAATTAAAATACACCACTACTTCTTCATTTATTTTGATTGGTTATCATGAGCTAAGTAGTTAAATTTCATTAGCTAAGACTGATTTGGTAATCTATCTATCCCAGAAATTTGGGTAATCACGTGACCGTACGCCATTACGTCCGTACACTCTTTGGGGGTGGTACCATGTAGACTCTGGGGTGGTACTTAGTATACTGATATACTCTGCAAGGGAGACGAGGAATCCAAAGCACGCAGCTTGCGTTTGTCTTGCAGGGGCAAAAGATTATTAAGCTGGTTGAAGTTCACCTACAGACAGCCAATGGAGTTTTTCTAGTGTAGATCTTGAATTTCGTTTGTTGATATACGACAAAAACTGTGAACAATATATATTTTTAGCGTGTGCTTTTACCTTGGTCACAGATTTGTCAATGTTTTGAAAGGTGAATTCATGCGTAAAAACTTATGAAGCATCTTGAAGTGTGTTTACCGTCGTGTATAAAAAGTTTAAGCCTTGTGTGTTCTTTCAATGCTGCCGCAATAAGAAATACAAGCTTTTTGTGTTCTTTCAATGCTGCCGCAACATGAAATACAGCCGCTATCAAGATTCTTTCTTTGTTCATAGTTGGTTTGATAATTTTTTTATCTTATTGGTGGTTGAGGAAAGCGTCGCATACGGGCGGATTCATAACTTAAGCTTATTTTGGCAGCGGTTTTGAAAGCATATGCATACAGGCTTTTCTAACCTAATTTGCTGCCTTTCAGGGCATTTTCTTCAGGTGAGGTTGATTATTCAGCATTGTTTTTTTCTGTCTGGTTTGATTTGTTTATGATTCCGGGCGTTATTATTTTCTGTCACTTATGGTTCCACTAATACTCAAGAAAAACTAACACGAACAAACAAACAATAAAAATCTTTAAACTCTCATTTGAGTCTTGCTTCGAGGTGCGTTCATCTAGTTTTCGCCATTTAATCTGTTTAACAAACGACAACGGAGCCGGTCGGGATAAAAAAAAAACAACAACAACAACAAAAACAAACAAACAAACAAACAAAACCAGTCTCAATTAATCAAAGGTCATAAATCAAAGGGTTTTTAGAAACGGTTCAAACACACTAATCCTCTTTCTAGAATGAATTAAACTGAACTGTTCTTGTTGTACATTTTCTAGTGCATTTGATGTTGTTTTGTTTCTGGTTTCATTTTTATGCCGTCACTTCACGTAAGATTTGAGACAATAACAGGAAAGCTTTGAGAGATATTCTTGCCTCGAGGTCATCTTAAAAAATAGCAAACACCGCGAAACCAGCTTGGAATTCTCGGTAGGATTTTAACCGCCGAGATCTTTGGACCAAGACAAGATCTCGCCCAGACCCCTTTATCTCGGCCAAAATCTGGCCTAGATCTCGCCGAGGTTCCAAAATCTCGGCGGCCAAAATCGCGGCGTGGTCTTCCCGTGATAACGGCGGCAAAAATCTCGACGAGGTCCCTGAATCTCTCTGGATTTCTAAAGAACCATTCGTGTTGCACCGCTATTCTGAAAATGACCAAGGACTGGAGAAGGAGCCTTGTCAACAGAGAGTCAGCCATGGCCGTGGCCGTTGATTTATCAAAGGCTTTTGACCTTATTAAAGGGACTGGTTCACGATAATGCGCAGGTGTGAGTTCTGACAGTGGCTGATTGTTTTTAAACCAATCGGAAGCGAGTTAGATGCACGCAAGTAAACTGAAAATTCTAATTCATGGTTCGCGACGCGATAGTATTTCAGGGCATTTGGTTTGATTTCATATATCCCCATAATTCAAGTTAATTCTTTGCTACTCCTCAGATATATGTTGCAGCCGATAAGAATGAGATTTACAGCCCTGTCTTGCTTTGAAACAAACATTTACCAACGTGTATTTTTACGAGGTCGTTCCCACGCTAACAAAGCAGTCACCCGAGATTGGCAAACAAAATTTGTAAACAAACATTTTTAAACTGTTCTCTCAGTTCACCTTATGTAAACCCAGAAATACCTACAAATAGCGCCTGACCGGTGACAAAAACACACAACGTATATATGAGTATAAAGATTATTCTTAATTGAGCATAAATTTCAATTGCTTACCAGCAAATGAACAAATTCATTCTCGTTGCACCGGGTCAGTGTTCCGCAAAACAAATGTTATCGAGTAGAACACATAAAGAAACTAGATTATAAACAGAATTTTCAGGCAATAATTTATTTTAAAAACATCAATTCTTAAAGATATACGATCGTAAAGCAAAGATACAAGGAACATTTCAAGTGTACGAGATCGTTGAAGATCGCGCGGCCTGTTGCGGTATAACTACAGGTAGCTACAGGTCGGAGTCAAAAATCAAATCAAAGTTGAACGAAGTCATGCCTTTAACCACTTTCCAAGTGTCGTGTATTCCTTTCGTAAGCCACACACTACTCCTAGAACCATACCAGACCGATCGGCTAATCTTCTCTATCTCCAAAGACTCTTGAGAACGTCCTGTTGCTGGACGGCCACGATGCTCTTCTGAATCTCCATGACTGAAAACATTATTTTTTGCGTCTTCTTAAAACGTAACCAGTCAAACAACAAAGCCACACGTTAATCACCACTACTGAAGTATAACTACGCCAGCCAAAGCGACGGATTTCGGAATAAAACGAATGATTTTCAATGATTGTACCAGTAATGGCGGTTTCGAATTTAGTGTTGACCCAACAAATTTATTTATAAACGGCGCGCATGCGTATAACCGTGATCGCGTCCCTTACACCACAATCTCCTGTCGGCAAAGCTGAAAGCCTAAAATTGGTCTCTCTCAATTCGCCTTGAGTTTGATGTCATTCTATTTACTGGGTCGTGAACAGAGGGTTTGTTTGCACGGTGTGTGCTCAATTAGTTATTCAGAGTTTAGGGCGCCGATGAATAAATCGTACATCATGCCTCAGCTGCACGTACAAGACCGTAGGTCTCGACGGACAACTATTTTTCTGTTTTTACATACAATTTACTCTTATAGTGACTTGTACCAGGTGTAACATTATCTCCTCTCATAAATGTTTGATCTACACTAACCAAACGTTTTGCACAATGAGCTTCAACAGAAAGTTAATAAATTTTTGTGGGAGGAATATTTCGAAACTGAAAGGCCATTTCTGTTCTATTTTTGCGTGGACGTCGCGCGGGTTTTAGAGCTCGTGCCATACTAGTGCTCAGGCTGCGCACGGTCAATTTGCTTTAGGGAGCCACCTCAGGCTGCCTCTTTGATCCACCAATGTTGTACAAAAATGCCAAGAAAAAAATGTATGTTGTCATATCTCCCACCCCCTCCACCCAAAAAAATGCGATGATGAAGTCTGATTTCTGCTCTTTAGTGAACAACATTGGCTGGTTGGGTGAGTGGAGGGTTCATAATGGGATAGGTGTCCTGTGAGTAAGTAAGTGCAAAATTCTTAACACATTTTGTCCAATATTGTAGCCATGCAAGTATAAAAATTATCACTGAGGCAATTGAAAGACATGATAAAATGAAACAATAAACACCTTCAGCTCTCATAATCAATCAGAACCTGATTGATAATGGTCTTCCTAAAGTAAAAAAAAAAAAATGTAGAGATACTTACGTCAGTAGTCTTCAAATAACCCCAAACCTTTTGTCACATGAACTGCAATGAATGTTGTATATAGAGTGCTTTATTCAGCTTGGCCATCAAGGCACAGACATTCCTACAGAAGTCTTTATTACTGTTCATAAAAAAAGTATTTAACTTTATTAGTTAGATAGTTTTTATAGTCAGGTACGTGACAGAAAGAATATATGCTGTAGCATTACGTTTAGCATTATGTTCGAAAACAAAATCTGAAATAAACCACAGACGGCTTGAAATTAACCATCTTATTGGGACCCCTTTTAAATGCCACTGACAACAGTGACGTCAAAGTGGAAAATGCTGGCGTACATAGCCCCACGACCCCACCGCGGTTGTCGAATAAGTCAGCAATATTGGAAAGGACAAAAAAATTTAAAAAGGAAGCAAATTTGTGCCCATGGTTTGGACCTAAGAGAGTGAATTAATCAGAAGCATTTTCCTTACGTATGACTGTTGATTCATTTTGGGAAGTGAACAGCTTTAACTTTAAAGTGTCTATTTTTGGCTCCAAAGTATCATTCTATATTTTTAATTCATTTAAATCGCATCACAACAAATGCTTGAATGGGAAATGAAAAAAAAAAAGAATAATCATAAAGTAAAATAACAATAGTAATAAAAAAAAAAAAAAGAATAATCATAAAGTAAAATAACAATAGTAATAATAACAATAACAATAATAATAATAATGATGATGATGATAATAATAAAGGAATTTTATGTGTTTACCCTTTAGCCTGGAATCCGTATTGATTGCAAACTGGCAACCTACTGTTATACCTTTCCTTTGTTTCTTTCATGAAAAGATACTTCTATCAGTCCCGATGATTCGAAGAAAAGTAAGAATTGTTCGAAGGAAATAACGACGCAAACGAATAAACAAATAAGTAGATAAATAAACGTGCACATATAGGGTGCATACACTAGATTTAAAAAAAGTTAATCAAAAAGGACAAACCATATTTCAACAAGTTTGTAACGGCTTCCTTTTAACAATGTGGAAGTCAACATACTACTAGCGTTTTAAAACTACAACTTATTAGCCTCTAACCATCACAACCAACGGTGACGCACAAAAATGGAAAAAGCGGGCGTACATGTACACACATGCCAGCCTAATTCAATTACAGCTGTCTCTCCTCCCTAGTCGCCGGTAGGTCAACCCAAGCGTTAAGGAGTGAGGAGAGGTGGCTGTAGTCGCAGACTAAGTTTATTATTTGCATAAGTTCAGTGGTCCTCGAGAGATGTCAGTTACCCGCCATATATAACAAATTAACCACTACGGCTTGAAATTAACCATCTTATTGGGACCCATTTTCCATACAAAATTTTAACCCGTAAACGCCACAGTTAACAATGACGTCAAAATGGAAAATGCTGGCGCACACACCCCCACGGCCCCACCTTAGTTGTCGAATAAGCCTACAATAATGGAAACGAAAAAAAATAAAATAAAAAAGGAAACGTTTGTGCCCATGGTTTGTGCCTAAGCCAGTTCTAAAGCATTTCCCTTACTTATGACTGTTGATTCATTTTGGGAAGTTAACACCTTTAACTTAAAAGAGTTTATTTTTGGACGCACAGAAACCTGTGAAGTTAAACCAAGCTTATGTCAAGAAGATGAACAACGGCGTGTCAATGGCATTCCTGCGAACAACATAACCATAACATTTCACAAGCTTAGCGACACTGGCAGATTTTATGCAAATGTATCGTGGACACCTCCACCTGGTACGTTTATCAGAATCTCAAGAATATGCAATGTCCAGTTCCCAAGCAATGGATCGTTTACACTGTACCTAAGATTAATTAAAGGAATTATATGAAATAACTGGTTTACCATTTACTTTCAAAAACTGAGGAAACCATTTGATCGTGCAGTGAGCAATCACAATAAAGTTCAGGACACGCGAGCAAACCTCAAAAATCCCAAACTTAGTGAACTGCCGTTGCTGTTTGCGGTTTAGTCTCCCCACGCCTTATTAGCTATTTCCTCGCAACACCAAAACATTTCATAGACATGTCTGGTGTTCACGATTTTGTGAATTTCACAGTGTTTGGTCAAGAGGGGAACATCAATTTACTTCCAAGTCTTAAAATTTCTTTTCTGTTACTCTTATTTGTGTTCAGCTTTGCTGTGTTTTCCTCTCAAAGCAGGACCAGACAATTCCACTGGTTACAGGCTGATTTATATTATGGGGCGTTACTGGGACTATTGTTGCCGAGACGTAAATAAGGTGAGTCATTCGGTCAAATAAGTTGCCATTGTCTAGTTACCCCTACTGCTTCCTGCGACCGGTGTGAGAATCCAGAGGATCATGATCGATCATGATACGACCACCAAAATTACATATTAATTCAATAACATTCGTGCGCACGTGGATGTTTTTCGTGAAATGAGGACCAATGACCAATCTACGGTGGCCCGTTATCGCGCGATAAGTTAAAATTATCGCGCGATAAAATGAACAGTTATCGCGCGATAATTAGTCAGTTTATCGCGCGATAAATTTGCAACATATCACATGACTCACGCTTTCCACCCACGTGTTTATAGCCTTTAATTCTCAGAGTTTAGCTTTTACAAGTATATCTTTGAGAGACCTTCCTTGTTTGTACGATATAATTAGAGGTTCTTTGTAGATCTGTCTAAGAAGAGGTTGGTTCTCTATCAGTTACCAGTGTTTCATAAGAATGTTTTTATGGCTAGCAACTCAAATTTCAAAGAACGCTTGATTGACAGAAGCTACCCACAAACTATGATAGAAAACCTTCTATCAGATATAAAGTTAATAGAGAGGGAGTCTGCACTCCTGAAACACAACGACAAAGAGAAAAAAGAAATATTGCCTTTCGTGACAAAGTACCAGCCCTCAGGTCTACTTTAAACGAAGTTTTAATGAAAAAATGGAATCTTATACAAAACCAACCGTTACTTCGCCAAATTTTTAAAGAACCACCTATCATTTTCAACGAGAAAGGAAAATCCCTGGAGGACATGCTCGTTAGAGCTAAAATGTAAAAGGTTAACACAAGGTTTCACGCCGGTATGGATGTGCGGCCTGTCACCGCTAGCATTTTCACATGTTAACCTTTAATTAGTGCGCATGCTAATCCGCCGGAGAACTCAGTCCTTTTCTGTAAATACATAACAAGAACATAACCTTTATTCACTTCACTTAATAAAAGGGATCACTGTTGGACAATGAAATACTTTAAACTTGAAGCTAAGAAGTAACCTGGCTTGATTCTCACTGTATAGTTTTGAAACGAGAGATACTTGATTACATATATTTAGCACTCATTAATTGTAAATCTTAATTACTCCCCTTTTCCTTCAGGATTAAAATGCTGTAATCCTTGCTTGGAAATTTAGCTTGGCACCTCAAATGAACCCTATTAAGCTGGCTTAAAAGTTAGACTATAACTCCTTCTTAGTATGATAAAGAAAGGGCCAACATCAAGATAATGCATGCATACATGCATGCAACGTTTTAGCTTCTCTTTTTCATGTGATATGCTGCAATTTATCGCGCGATAAACTGACTAATTATCGCGCGATAATTCAAATTTATCGCGCGATAAACTGAATAATTATCGCGCGATAATTCAAACTTATCGCGCGATAAACTGACTAATTCTCGCGCGATAATTCAAAGTTATCGCGCGATAATTTAAACTTATCGCGCAATAAGTTAAGCAAAAAAATATATTTTAATGTCCCTTACGGGCCACCGTACCAATCAGATCACGATATTATATAGCAGAATCTTCTATCATTGTTGGCCGGCATCAAAACGTATTCTACAGTCTTCCCCGCATAGCTTTCTTCCCCAGGGAGTGCTCGACTTGCTTGGCCTGCTGATTTTTTTTTCTTTTTTTTTTTGCTTGGCTTGCTTCGCTTGAAGATTTTCTTTTAAGCCCCGCACCATTTCGGAGCCTGTTCGCATGTCATTTTTCTCAATACCTCAAATCCCTATAAATAACTTCCATCCCTAGTAATAACTTTAGTCATTCAGTACTTAACTGATAAACAAAGAGGCAAATGATTAGAAAATTACAAGGCGCATCGACTATAACCCGATGAAGTTGCTTATCAGCCGTTTCCACTGTTCCAGGGTATGCCAAAAAAGGGTATCCACACTAATAAAGAACTGATAAAAAAACAACAACAACAACAACAACAAAAAACACTGTTGAATTCAGCCATTAGTGAAATGGGGCAACTACAGAAACTACAACTATAAATCTCCAATCAGTACGCATATGCGTACATATGTTTGTCTTTATTGCTTTCAGACAACTACATCAGCCATTGTTGATAGATTTACTAAAGGCTTAAAAGGAAATGAGTATTTTCGCGTCAAGGTAAGCTTAGAAAAGTCAACCATCATAAAGAAAACCGTTGCCTCCATGGAATTACTGCAACACTTGTCGGGGGATTAAGGGGTTCACTCACTAGAGGGATTAAATTTTCCACGAGAAAAATGCTTTCGAACCAACAATTGGGTAGGTGTATGTTTTCGCTGCGTTGTGAAATCGTGGATGTCTCGCTGCCATGCGATCGACTCCGGGTTGTCATCGAGTTAGATCGTATGTTTATTTTTCCTCTTTATTTGCGAGACGAGGCCGAAGGCACCGTGTAGCGTGGTTCATAAAACTGCAGGAATGTGCGTCGCACGTGGATCACTTAAACGAGTGAAATATTGGGTTGCCTACCTATAAGTCGGATTGATGTTCAAATTTTTTTTAGCGACAAAAGAGTGACATCTCAGTCTGTAACATAGGAAACTGTAATTTGGCATCAGCAACCGAAGCCAGCTTAGTGCTAGACTTGAATTGTAAATTGTAAATTTTCCACGAGGAAAATGCTTTCGAACCAACAATTGGGCAGGTGTATGTTTTCGCTGCGTTGAGAAATCGTGGATGTCTCGCTGCCATGCGATCGACTCCGGGTTGTCATCGAGTTAGATCGTATGTTTATTTTTCCTCTTTATTTCCCGGCCTACTGTTTTTTCCACTCTTTTCCCGAGATTCAAGAGATTCTTCAAGACACGTATTTCCCATCTCAGTTCTGTTGACGAGTTTGTTGGTGAATCTACACTGCTCAGAAAAACGGGGAACGTTCTAGCGTCGTATTGCCTACCTTACTTGACTACCTTTGTTTGCGATTATTTCACACATATCCTGTGCTAGGTTGGTAATTACAGCAAGTTTTTTTATGGACTGATTCTCGCATTCACTTTGTTTACCAGGTACTTACTCTTCCACTTACACCAGGTACTCCTGTTAAAGTCAAACGTAAGTTAATGGTCATATTTTCTCGCGCGCTAGCTGTTATTTACTGTCTTCACCTTTATCAAAGTTGCATTAAAATGCCCTAGAGTGTCAAATGTGCAATCAAATTACATGATATTAGAATATGAAATTGATGATGCCATTTTTGTCCTTTTAACTCTCTTTCTTGTCACAGGAAAAAGGATACTGCAGCCGACTAGGCTGCCAACCGGTAATTCTTTTAAGAGTACTTGCAAAGTAAAGATGCTATTTTTAGAAGCATAAGCTCGTTTTACTCTAGCCAATAACGGGACCAGATCGATTCTTTGTTTTCAATTGCTTTAGTGAAAGTGACTGGTAGGTAATGAAAAATATGACTTTTAATCGAACAGCTGTCATTCAAAGTCGATCCACAGAAGAAATAACATTGCTTTTTTGCTTTTTTAATCCGGTATTCAAAATATTTCTCCGTTTTTGAATGGTCTAAATATCCGGGCCAATAATTTATAAAGCGCTATCGCTGACTAAAATTGAATATACTTACGTTAATTGTCCATAAAAAAAATATTAGTCGTCAGGTAGATCGTCATATCACTTATATAATCATTGGATGATTTATGTCACACAACCAATACTTACGTAACTGATGACCGAATATAAACACTTGACATTTAGATGCATTGTATTTGTTCATTTTTTTCAAGAAAATAAGTCCACCTGACTACAAATCCACCCAGTAATTTTTTACGCTTACCCAGTTTAATTGACGATATTACTAGGCCTTTTCCTCTGCCCTAGAAAGACTTTTGGCCACGTACCTGCAAGAGCTGAATCATGTTCTTCTTTACGACGAACAGAAAAGTCAAAACAATCAAAACAAAAATAATAATAATTAACAACAGCAAAAAAAAGCTCTGCACGGAGAAAATATTCAGTTTAACTTAGTTCTCATTTTATTCCAGTCTATTTTAGACTATTTTGGGCTATTTAAGTTTGATGTCGTTTTCATGCCATGCGTCCCAGCAACTTTTTTCAGACATTCCAGCAGCTATAAAATCTTAGTCTTATGTGTCAGTCTCCTCAAAATTGGCCTTCTGGCTAATTTTCTTGTGCTCTTTCCACCTGAGGCATTTTTAGAGCTGTAATTGTATGCCATAATTTTTTGCTTAAGAATGGTCACGTGATCAAGTCTTGCAAAGGGCCTATTAGAAATATAGGGTTCATCAATTTGACACGTATGCGTACAGCAGTTGCATCTGCATTGGTTATTTCGCCTTAAAATAAATAAATAAATAAGACAAAAAAAAAAACAACAACAACAACAATTCTTCAGATGAATGAATCCCAGAGTGGTTTTAGTAAGCCTAATTTATCCACATTTAGCTTTTTCCTTAGTATTCATTTCCTTGTAACATTTTTTGAGACAATGCTTTTGCAAACAGGTGTGGCGAAATATCTTTTTTGCAATCTCTTTAATTTCATCTAGAAAATCAAGAAACTACGTCTCCATCACAAACAAGCGAGGGTAAGGAAAAACAACAACAAAAATGTGAACATGATACACGTACATCGTCATGATCGATAAAACCCCCTGGCATGGAAGGATTACAAAAAATATATATATCTATATATTTCTAACTGTCGCCCGGAGAAGAGAAAATGCATTGATCAAGTATAAACGGATTTACGTGAACATGTTTATTTAGTCTTTTTTTTTTCTTTTTTAGGAGAAGAAGTTGTCCTTACTGCGAAAACTCCTGGTAACTTTTCACGTTTGATGTTACTAGCTATTTCCTTTTGTTCTAGAAGGACCAGTATCCGACAGGAGTATAAGACTGAGGAGACAGTAATAAGACTACGCTATCTGTGTACCTATCAGTTATTTCTCTCATAAGTAGGTGGATTTATGATTATGATCTTCCGGGCAAGTGTGGTCCTGAATAGAACTGTTGTTGACAGTGACAGACGTTTCGACAACGTGTGCAGTAGACATCTTTAGAGTCAACGTGAGTTGCATCACGTCTGTTGATTAAATTTAACTCTTTTTATTAACCTGATAGGTCAATTAAGTCTCAACGTTATTGGTCGTCTATAAGTTAAGCCTTGATTTCATTGGCTATGAAGACTCTAGAATCTACACAGCCCTATAACATCACTGCTTAATGAAATGACTCTTGCGGTTCAAACCTTTACAGTTCTACGCCTGATAGCTTTCTTAACCCAAGTTGTACACCAAAGGGATCGATTTGTCGGAACGAATTGATATCTTCACTGCCAACCAACTGGGTCATTTCTTTTTCTTTCTGAACAGAGACAATAAATCAATCTTCATCGTCTTCATCTACAAGTAAGTATATACTATATTTTTTAAAATTATCAGTGAGTGTTTCAGTTTTAGTTTGAACAAAATGAGAACGATATAAGAGCACGAGCTGCAATTTTTTGTTCTTAAGCTCAAGTAAGCCAAGAGAGTATTTCTGCATCTCTGTCTAAAGGTGAGTGTGGAAAATGTATGTTGGTTTGTTTGTTTTAGTACAGTTTACATGTCTTTTATATATATCTGTCTGGATTTGCAAAAGGTACCTCCAGGATTTTTTAGCGACCATATTTTTTTCTCTTACGATGTTTTCAGTACAAAAAAATCCCTAAAAAGCTACATTACACAAAAAACAAAAGAAAACAAAACAAAACAAACAAGACAACACAAAAGACAAACAAACAAAAAACATGTGTTCATGTGTTACAGCCCATGTTCTTTATAACCCCTCAAAAAGCTACACTGCTTATGAGCATTCTCGCTGTCAGTAACTATTACGCGAAGGACAAGTCATAGGTGATAACGATTGCTGCTGCTACTGTTGCTGTTTCTGTTGTTGCTTTTCTTTTAACTCTTTTGTTGGCCTTCCAAAGCTTTCTGTATTTTGTATCATGCAATCTCAGTTCAACCCGATGGTTGACAAAATATTATTTTTCAGCAATTTTGAAAGTTCCGTTTAAACTTTGGCACTGCTCACATAATTAGCACCTAGGCTACTGCTCTAATTATGCATATTTATTTATTTATTTATTTATTTTTCTTTGTTTCATCATTTTTGGTCCCATATCAGGCAACAAGGCTTCACGCGAGAAAATTTTAATCATCACTGCACCTTCGATCTTTGTGTTACTAGTTGTGACTGTTTCAGCTTACTGGTACTTTCGGTACTTAAGCACACAAAGACAACCAGCACGAGGTCAGTATTACTTGATTTTTGTAAAATTATACGGAGTTTCACATCCTCTACGAGACAAAAATCGTAGCGTTTTCATGTTATTTCAGGTGCTCGCTTGAGAAAACAAAAATGAACTTCCAAGCAATTGAGGAAGTTCAGTAGGAGGAAAGAAATACGTATATTACAATTTGTGTAAGAGCTTGTACTGTATTCCTTTTGAATGATGAACCTCAACGTGTCAGACACGAATTTAACAAGGTTTTTCTAAATGTTGATTTCTATTTATTTCATTTTTTGGCGCCATTCAGTGCTGTTCCCTCAGTGGTTTATTAGCACCCTCTGAGATCTGCCGATAATTCTTCATAGCATTAATTCCTCCTTTCTCTGTTATTGTTCATTCTTATTCATTTCAAATATAGTTCCGTTTCTGATTGACTTCAATTTTCCCCGGCTGGTATAATTTTCATAAAAATCTAGTGCTGACTAAAATATGAAAATGTTTGTCTATATCAGTACGATATATATATATATTGATTGCTAAGATTCTAAGGGATGAAAAATGGTTTTGAAGTCGAAAACGTTTCATCCCTGTTGGCTTGGGAAAATTTTGAATGAATAATTACTAAACTCATTACAATTGAATTTCATACTATGAGAAGTATTTTGCAGATCTTCGTCCGGTGCTGGATTTCAGACATCCGCGTGTTATCACATTAATCTTAGTCGTTTCGGGTAAAATGCAGTTTGTTTTTTTTTTGTTTACAGTTATTCTCTAATGTTATCTTCCAGAAGAACATGAACAGGATGTTGATTACGACGCCTTCATCATATACAGCTCTGCAGACGAAAAGTGGGTTAATAAGATTCTCTGTCCAATTCTTGAAGAAAAACATGGTTTGAGGTGTTGTGTTCACCATAGAGATTTTGTTGTTGGAAAACCGTTTCGCGAAAACATGGCCGACAGTGTTTATAAAAGCAGGAAAATCATTGCTGTCGTGTCCCGCAACTTTTTCAAAAGTAAATATTGCAGTCAGGAAATGGATATGGCTTTAGGCCGATCATTGGATAGAGGAGATGACAGTGTTATTGTGATTAAATATGACGACGGTGTTGACACAAGGAAGCTTCCTAAAGCACTGAGGCAGAGAAGCTATATTGATTACCCAAAGTTGATTGAAAAGGAAATGTGGGAGAGAAGGCTTGTCGACTGTTTAAAGCACGTTCCCGGCAAGAAAACGTCTCCGGTTGGTTTCGTGTAATCGATAGGATCCTGGGCAGAGACGAGTTGGCTTTCTTCTAATTATTAAAAAAAAAATGGTCCAATTTCTATTAGTAGATTTGTTAATGAAGGTGGGATCCAACACGCACACAACCAATTTCAGTAACATGCACATCGGCATTCGTTTTTGAGGATTGTTAACTTAGACATGCCCGGTACCTGCTAAGATTAGACGGCCAGAGGCAGTTTGGCCCGTTTTCCCTTCAAGCACCACCGGCAAAAGTCCTAGTTATTATGACTCATGCCTTGCAGAGTGCCACCTACGGCAGTGCTACTAAAATGATCACTCGCTTTAACGTTTTGTTTTTAGTTTGCTATGTACTTAACGAAATGCCTATCGAATTACGCTACGAGCAAATGGGCGCAGCAACTCCCAACACATTGTTGGCCCAAAAAATGTGGGAGCTGTTGCGTCCGTTTTGTTTCAAACTTTGCGCAACAACTCCCAACAACACGCGATGACACGCAACAGCATGAGACAGGGTGTGTAAACGGACGCAACATGCACTTTTAACGATGTTGGGAGTTGGTGGCCAACAATGTTGCGTCCGTTTGCACGGTGCTTTAGTTATCAGTGCTGAACGTACTAGGCCCTCTGAACTGTCTTGGTTTCTCCATTTGTAAAGAATTAGGAACCCTAAAAGAGCTAGGAAGCCAAAGTAATCATTAGCTAGTCTAGTTTTTTTGCAATTGCATGCACATTATCAGCGAGTATACGTGTCTCGTCTTTCACATTCACATTCACATTCGTCACGTCACATTCCCTCTCACTACTGCAAGGTACTTGCTCTTTTTTACACAAATCATATATATAATTTGTAAATTATAAATTATTATTGTAATTGCATTTTATTGTAAAAGATTGCTCGATTCGACTGCTGATTGCATTGTAAAGTGATTCTCAACAAACCATCTACCTACCAACATAATTAGACAAGTTCTATTTACTACCGCTTTCATTTTACAATGCAGACAACAAGTTATTCTAGGTGCGGTTCATTGGCTTTTGGCCCACAAAACATGCATATTAATGAGTTGAGGGAAAACTACGTCGCTTTTATTACCGTTCGAGCCAATATTTCTTCTGCGTACAACCATTCATTCATTTAGATGGCCGTGAGTCCTTTTCTTTCGATCATTTTTGGCCTGATTTTGGCATTTTTTTAAAACCTGGTTTTTGCCTGTCGGCAGAAAAACAATAGTAATGTGTTGGTAGTAGTAGGAAAACAATACAATTGTGATGGTGGTGGTGGGAAGGAAAAATGGAAAGATGGTGGAAGTGGTGGTGGAGGGAAAATAATAGGTGGTGGAGTAACCTGAGATCAGAGGTTATTATTATTATTTTTTTTTTTTTTTTTGCTTCTTTGCTTCTTTGGCTAAAGAGTGGGAAAAAAAAGAAAAAAAACACCCACCCACACATACACACACACAAAAAAAACACGAGCATACCCGGTATCAAATTGCATTCAAATGACCGGTGAATTTTTGACCGAAACTTTTTAGCATACGATGAGATGGAAAATATTTCAATGGATCAAATTTCTATTCAGGACATTCTTCACAGTCAAGAAAACTGAGCCGGCAGAAATTTCATAACTAACTCGCGTGTGTATTCACTGCTCCTCGCGCAAGCAAAAACGCTGACTGAAATCTAGGCTGCATAGCAAGCGTTTCTGCGAGAGCTCGTCAAGAAAGCAGAGACGAGACCAAAAAAAAGGAATGACAGGGGAGGGGGAGGGAAAAGAAGGAAACGCTTGCCCGCAAGCCCCACGATTATGAAAAACTGCGTTCACCCACGAGCGCAGCTTCTGATTGGTGCTGTGCTAGATGGTAGTGTTGATTACTTAGCACTCGAAACATCAATCAATCCAGGTATACTTTGTTTACGTGCGTCACAGATCTGGTCTCATCTGATTTGTAGTCGCAGATTGCCTTGGACTGATATTTATTTGTGTCGTGTTTGTGCGAAGGTTTATGAGATCAGAGTTCTTTCAAAGTATAATTGGAGATCGTGCAGTGGAGATTGACGGCGTGCGGATCTGACTGGAAAAAATGGACTAATTGTTGGAGATAACATCAACGCAAATCAGAACATAGGCAGTCGACACTTAGCTAAAGCCGCCATGGACAAGCGATTTGTCAGCTTTTTGAAATGAAAAGATTCTTTTTGATTATTGGAAATTTAGCGGGATGTGTTGTAGAGAACGTTTCGACACCGGCTGAAGAGCAGCCGCTCTGCAAAACGTATAGCCGGTGGAGTGAATTGTTCCGGACAAATCACTTTTGACGTTTTTTTTTGCAAGGTTTCAGACGAGATAAAGCCACTCAATAAAAACTGATAAGAAATTCTGTAGCAATCGCTCAGAGTTTCAACCTTCTTTTATCGTAAACGTTTTTTATTACAGTTCTAGCAATCGCCTGGAACGAGTTCTATTAAAGAACAAAGTAATTTTACAAATCTGGCATAAATCCAGGGGTAATCGGTTCGTTATACTTCTATTTTGACGAGCTGTCAATTTAAAAATGAACCGAATCGTGAAATATCAAGGGGCGTTTTCCAGAATCATGGGGTTTGCGGGCAAGCGTTTCCTCTTCTCCCTTCCCCTCCCCTTCCCTCTTTGTTTTGCTCCAGTTTTAACTTTCCCGCAATAACTGGATTGGAAACGCTTGCTACGCAGGATAACTGAAATCATCAACAACTAATGGATGGCGGCTTTTTGGCCATTCGGAACAGCGCAGATCATCCGTATTGTTTCCTATCCAATCAAAAACAAGTCCAGATTCTGCCTTTTTTGCATGTGATCTGTGAAAAGATTGTATCATGCCAACCTCCCGAAAACAG